AATTTACCAACTCGCGGACCGGTTTAAAGTTACATCAGATGGTCCTAATTGGGCCCCGTGATATTCCTCATTTAAAAAATCAAATGTGTTATTCTAAACATGAGATCGGTCGTCCGTACGATGTTAAAAATGACTGCCAAAGTTAAAATGGTGCCAAAATAGTGGGTAAGGTAATATATTCACATGAAATCGAATAAACACGAGCGCATGATGAATCTGGGTCATTTTTTAATCTAACCCTCACACCGTCTAAGTCTCGGAGTTATAATTGTCGAAAGGTTGAATACGGATTCAGAATTTTTCAATCGGGCATTTGAAAGTTGAGAAGGAAGCCCTTCTCGCAATGGTGTAAAAACACAATAAGTTGTGCAAACGGGAGTCGGAAAGGCGCGCAAAACATTGTTGCGGGTCAACGGGCCAATGTCGCACCGACCCTGCCGTGGCCTAGCGCGAATATTATTAAAAATACAACACTTTTTTAATTTCGTTAAGCCCCTGCTCGTCATTCTTTGAACGGCAATTCAAGTGAATAATATTCTTTCTTACAATCGGTTCATTTTGTATGGAAAAATCACGTTTGTTAGTCATTTATTTTGTTTAAGGCAATTCGAATATTACTCTTTTTTGGGAGCCATCTACGTCCACCGAATTGGTTTTATTTTGGTGTAAAATTAAAAATTAAAGTTCAAAAAACAACATTTAACAAAGACTTTTTAGTACAATACTTGTTAAGATTATTTTACATAAACAAATCGTTTACAACTTGGTCCTTCTGTCAAGGCTGTCGCTGTAAATAGGGCACAAGGGTAACGCAACGACAGGTGCGGCCGCAATGACACCTAATATCAATCACGAAATACTTTACGGACATGGGGTACTAAGTTTTGTCGTCTTCTCCGTTATCGTAACGATACAAAACAATGTTTATCAAGTAAATATGGTCTCGGTTTTGCCAACATCGGAAGCGTGTACGTAGAATAATGTTATCGGGGGTGGGCGATAACATTTGGCACAATTGCCTCGCTGCCATTATGTGTGAGGCAAGTTTCGCTGTATAATTAATAGATAGCTCGCGTGTCAGTAGTGATTCTACGACCTCCAATTATATATGTTACATGTTATGATTACATTTATTATGTGATTATTTATTATTTATAACCAAAGGCAACGAGTCCGGTTACGTCTTGGGCTAAAATTTCACGTCACTACACGACCAATTGTTAAAACGGACATCTTTTAGGTGGCAAATGGTGTCGACCTTGATATGGCAACACGATTTCTTTAAAGGAAGAATTTTATTGACTGTATAAAGAAATAAAAATCATTACGTAATTAGACATTTATGTTTTTTAGTTTGTATTTCTACAAGGCGCAGTATCGCCCTTGAACAACTGTTACACCGAATTCATTGTGTCCAACTCGAAAATAATTGAAAAATGGACAGCTGAGCCCCGAGATATACTATGACCAGACGCCTGAATAGTCGTAGACGAAGGATTCGTGGAGCAGACGGAACGAGCAATCATGTCGGCAGATCTCACACGTGCCCTGGGACCGGACCGATTACGACGGCCGCTGCGTTCACGCCAGGCGATGCGAGCTGGTGGGAGGCACGCGGAAGTCGAGGAGAAAGTGGGGTGAAAGCGGGCGCGCAACATTTACCTAATCGCACGGAGCGGCCGCGTTACATCAGCCAGCAGAGCGAATGTGAAAGTCAATGTTATAGCCGACGGCGGTGGACGTGCACCGCTTACGGATACGGAATAATACTTCTTCGCTGTCTGTACATGGTTCACGAGTACGCGCCGATACTTCTACTCTTCGCCGTCTGTAGATGGTATCGTGGAATGTCAAACAGACTTTGAGGTTAGCTCTTCCGTGAGTTTAGTATCTCAGAGGACGCTAATATTGCTCTTTATACTCAATCGTTTAGAGCGTGTATTGTTAATTTAGTATCTCTATTGTCAACTTCAAGGACAGTGAGTCATTTTGCTAGCATATCGATTAGAAGTCCCTGTGTCTTCTTTTGTTATAAAAGTGGATTGCTGATGCAGAGTAAGCATAGTTCTTTAGAGCTATCGAAGGTTCTAGAAGCAACTTTTATTACTCACTTCACCTGCTTGTGGACGTATGTGTCTCTCGAAGCTCTGGAGATGCTGCCTATTGTGCTTCAGACGTTGGACAGTGGTCTATAAATCAGCAAACGTAACACACGCACAACTTGTCCCAGTTATCAACCAGCGAGTCGGGTTTACAGCATAACGGTAATTGATAGAATAATCCGTTACATCGCGGAAATCATTACAACAACGGGACAGGAAAATAATTTTCTAAGGCTTCGACTACAATAACTGGCATGTTTACCAAGCTTGAAGTTCGCCGCCCTTTGCCAGCATTTCTTTGCCAGCAAAGAAATGCACACTTAACATGTTTTAAACTGGAAAATTCTCCCAACGACCTATTGTTAGATTAAGCGCTACAGACACAAGCGATTACGTCAATCTTAGTGAAGTCCTCTAACCAAGTCATCTAAGAAGTTACCGTTTGATACTTCTTGCAAAACACGAACATAACAAAACTACTAGGAAGAGGAAATATAAGTGCTAAATCTTCGTGGCATGGTATGGTCGGTAAAAATGATTTTCTGCGCACTACCTTCTCGGGAACGATTTTCTTATCTAGGCTTTATATTTACTGCAATCTAAGGAACAAATGAGCTTAACGGAATTTTCGATGTGTTCCGGGTGGACGTTATGTAACAGAAGATAAGCAGTGATAGTAAGCTAGCGAGCACGGGCGATTTATTGTTGGCCCTTGACGTGCTCAAAACCTTTAATCCAATATTCATATGTGTATTTCCAATAAAAGGGCCCAACTGGACCTGGCATAGGTAAGTCTATGATAAGAAACTGACAATTCGTATATAATTACTTTTTATTTAATTCATAATGTTCTTTAAGAAAATTCAAAATATATCATTAAAATACTAAATGTTATTGCATTCTCCTCTCGACGCAGCTTTTAGCCCGTAATCTTTAAATTGTATACTGCAAAGGAAACCTGAACGAACCATATGCAAGCCACATTTGTGTTAGAGCCCTTAATTGCGCGGTTGGCACGACGAACAACATTTTTATCGTCATTTGTCTTAGCCGTTGTATTAATTTCACAACGAAACATGAAGAAGAAGCTATTATTAAAATCCAATAAGCAGTTTAGGTTTTTTTTATGTGAAAAGTTGCCAAACTAGCAGACGGTTCACCTGATGTTAAGTGAATAGGTACCGCCGCCCATGGACATCTGCTACACCCGAGGGTTACAGATGTGTTGACAAACTTTTGAAAATTGGGCTCCGGCTACCTCACCCACCAGACGAAACGCGAAAGTATTTGTCATACTTCCACTTTACGCTGGTCTTCTGTGAGGTCGTGGTACTTACCAGGACGGGCCTGCCCATTCGTGCAACAGCCGAGGCTGCTGCGTGGCCCTACCACCGCATAGGTACAATACGCTTCGCATTCTGTTGCGAATTTCATGTGTCATGGTTTGTCCGCTCCTTGGCATATTTCGGAGCAGATAAAAATCTGTCTGGATTTATACCTCAATTGTCTGCGATCTACTGAAGTAGACGTCCGGAGTGAAATAAATCGACGCATTAGTGAAAGTGGACGGGTGTTATCTAAACTTAAGCGATAGCGAATATCTAAGTGGGTCGGCGCTTAGACAATTAGTGCATCTATCCTTTATCTGTGGGAGATAAGTTTAACGTTTGTTTACATTGCACATATGATTACGAATAATGTCAATGATCTAATTATAATTGATGTATAATTTCGTTAGGTTATATCCATGATTCTTATGCGAATATTTAGCGATATTGCTAAGGGCTTATAAGGATAGTTATAATAACCAGATTAGGTTCTCGTATTCGTGATCTTTGTGTTTGCCAAAAGTTAATTTTTTTTTGTTTGCTTTTTCAACACATTGTCTTGTTGCCTTGTAGCGGTAGCAGTGTTTAGAAATGGAGAAAATATGGCGAAGAAAAGAAAACTGGCAAATATCGCTCAATAACATCCTTGGCCCAAATTCGAAAGATAATGGTATCAAGTGGTACGCTTTCGACACGTTCACACTTGGGCCACACAACTGGGCCACGGCAGTAGAAGTAGAAATTAAGTCGAACATGTGTTGTACTTAAAAGAAATTATGTACTTGTTACAATAACTTGTGCGGTAAACGTGAGAATTCACGAACATGTTTTGGAAACACTCTTCATCTGGATACGATTATTTTTTATTATAAATTCTATGAATCGGAAAAATTATTATTCAATTGCTTGTCGTGTGAGGCAAATAGATTTAAATAGGAAACCGTTGTAATTCAAACATTATCTTATCTTTAATATCGAGCAAAATACTAATAAAGAAAAAATGCAATTCAGACCTGGTCACGTTTTATCAAGTTATTCGTAATACAAACTACCTACATAAAAACTTTGAATCACATTATTTCGGCAATCGAACGCCATAACGTGTATGAATTATATGCATTAAAAACGTGAAACCACTCACAAGTAGAAATAATAAATTAAATTACCTACTATCAATGCAAAATTGGTTGCCGAAATAAATCTTCCTATAAAAATTTATTTATGCAATATAACAACAACGAATCGAACTATGGTAAAAATGAAATTTTGAAAGTTGCAAAACTTACCAACGTTATCTCACGTGCATAATGTAATAAAATCTTTCGCAACATCGCTGAAACTGGTTACATAACAGATTAACTTTCAAAAAAACAAGCCGACGACCGCTTGGTTTAGTCGTTTTCTAAATTTAAAAAAAAATCGTCCGATCGAGACTCGATGGACGTTTTGTTTCGTTACTCGCGATTGCGAAGATTTATCGCGTCTCGTACCGTCATTGTTCGCCTCTCGGCCGAATTGCAGATTGATTATTACTTAAGCTTCGCGATATTATTCGAAAGAGATGGAGTTACTCTTCCGTCTCATCGGTGCGATGGGAAGACGCGGCTGCGACAGCGGCACTAAATAGGCGGTGGCTTCCCCGTGGCGGCGTCCGCGTCGGCCCGTTAGTAGGAAACGCCGGTCGCCCGCGCGCCTTGACACACTTTACGAGGCGCGCTACCGAGCGTTCCGCGGGGCGATCATCCGAATCGTCGAACGCGAAATCGAAGCAAATGTTAATCGACGCAAGGTAAGTAAGGTAGTACAGATTCCGATACGGTGTCCTAAAACAGATTTCGTGTGCGACGTCTGCGGCGGTGTATACGATTCCCGCACGAGACGACTGTTTGTGTGACCCACAGATAATTGTTTCGGGTCTAGGTAACAAAGTGCAATCTATGTTTGTGTAACGTCATTACAATAAAAGATATGCTATGAATAGAATATAAGAATGCCCTTATAGTGTTAAAGAAAAACAAATTAATTTTAATTTAAAAAGCTGGCCGCAATCAGAGCCAATTAAGTTTGGAAACGAGTAAAAGAGTCAGTATTGTATACAGTATATCCCAAGGTTGGATAAAAGGCCTCCCAAGGCCAGAGGGCAGTAAGTAGAAATAGTATGTAGGTTTTCCTCATGACGTTTCCCTTCTCGACCGAGAAAGTATACACACACACTTCAAATAAAAAAAAATATAAAATGTTTAGCTAGTGTGAAGTTGATTTATTTCAAAGAGACTGGACCCCGCAAATTCATGAAAGTAACGCCAGTTAACAGCCAATTGACATCTCTGAACGAGGCTCTAGTTACAACGAGCCCTATTCGCGTAAACACCACAAGCCCTCAGTTTCTTGACTGGGTATAACATAGTGCTGTTGAAGTTTCACACCTATTAAGCACAGCAAAGCATGCTGAGATGCGAAGATTAATAGAATGGCAATATCCAGCACTTGTTATCCACACTACTTCAGCAACCTGAATTCCAGCGTCTGCTTATACTGGCCTCTGTAGTTAAAGCAAACAGTACCATACTACACGGTTTGCTTTACAAAGGCCGGCTCGCGACACAAATTCGGATTGGTTACGTCTCGTGTAAACATAGAAGTTTGTCGCTTAACAATCGATGACTGAACAGTCCAATTGAATAAACTCGGCCCATTTGGATTGTTTGCGAGACGTAGGCGCGGGCGCAGCACACGGCCGACACGTGACGCTTAACTGCCGTCGAACGTTTTCAGAATGAGACCCCCGGGGAAAATATTACACGTCGATTAGTGAAGCAACGGACGGAATTTCGGATCGGCACAAATTCAAGTTAAAATTACTATTAATAACTCAATAAATTGCACATTGGTGAAGCAGGTTATATCGATTTTTTCAGCTTAGAACACCACTGATCGAGTTGAATGCGTAATAAATTGCATCACGAATACAGACTTATACATAAATTATGCCATAAATTAACGATAAAAACGATTTGTTTATTTATTCCCTGAGCTTTCCATGAGCTTATTATATTTCTGAAGCAACAGATAAAACCCTAAATTCTTACCTCTTGACAATCAAGGGTCAGGTCACAGTCAGGTATCCGTGACCGCTTTCTATAAATCATTGTATTAATTCGGGTATAAATCTTACATTTAACACATATTTTACCGTCAAATACACCATTACAGAAATACTTTCACGTCACACTTTTTTATTTATTATTTTGCGAACTGTTCTCTCAATCTTGTAAAATTGCAATAAAAATTCCATTTAATACAAAACCTTGCTTAACGAGAATCCATTTTATTATGATACATGCATATACATACGTGGTACTCAGAAGGCCATTTTAATTATAAATTTTTACTGCCAATCACAACACATTTGTGAGGCGGGCATTAGACGCTAATAGTAACCTCCATAAATTACTCTAGTGTGAAACTGTATGTTAATTTAAAAGTAAATGTCATCAGTTAAAGTTAAGGAGGTTAAGTTTCACGTATTTGAAAATAGTCTTCATTACATTAAAAACGAGGCAATAAAGCAAATTATAATAGACCGCGTCTTGACCTTTATTTGAGAAAAAATATATAATGTACACCGTACTTATTGGAAATCATCCCCAACACGAGTAAATAAATTAAATAATAAAGTCTACTACATACTACTCCATTATCCATTTTTGATAATTATTTACAAAGATTTTTTTTTCCACTTTAAAAACTACCCTGTACTGAGAAACTGCTAAAACTTACGGGAGGTTCGTCAATTGTCATTTTCTGTCTAGTGTGGGAAACAAACAAGTTTTTTTTATGGCAAGGTGACCAACTAGATCATTGAGATCCGTGCTGGAAAATGCTATATAATTATATGAGACATTCATCACCTCATTTATTTACCCATTTTTAGGTTAGTGCCACCAATGTAGTTTGGCAATAAATCAAAATAAGATTAATAATAAAATTGGCAATAAATGTGTTTCCATCGCTCGGATTTCAATTTCGAACGCGGTTAGACAAACTAATTGCATGTATTAACGATAATTTTACATTTCCTAACGAGTTAAAGCACTTTCAACATTTAAAAGTTACATTAGGTAACAATAAGAAGAAAATAAAAATCTCACTTACATTTTCCATGGGAGTGAAATCCAAAACTTTTAATGCACTAAACGGGGCACTATTCACTTGTTTGCGGGGTATAACATTGATACAGTAAGTTTCTTATAGGACACTTCACTTCTCTTCGAAAATATTAATATTGCACTCGAATCAGTGAGCGCACACAAAGCGAGACGCTTCACAATATTCCACTGAATGTTTTTCTCCTTCAACGAACAGTATTTATTACGATTACATAAAACTACACACACCGTATCTGGGCTCACACCCAGTTCCAAGTAGGTACCTGTAACAAGACAAAGCGGTATTAAGTTTTACGATGTCGCACGCGAAATTCGCCTGAAAGCGAGCCAGTTTCGAGTGATTTCGCGGCACAGGAGGCAACTAAACACACGACACGTACTCACTTGACTAGAATGAAATTTAAACTGAGCACAAAATGAGCTGGGACGTAAGGAACTAGTCCGCCTCGGCGCGGCACGTGCAAACAAACCGCTGACCAAATGCTGACTGGTTGGCGCAATGGAGGGAGGACGGCAACAGGGGAAGGGGGGCAGACGGAGGAGATATCGAGGGGGGAGACCGTCTGCTCTACTGGTTGGCCGACCTATTCGCTTGGCACTCACACAGCGATGGCATCGGTAAAGTTTCTAGGCTGAATCGTTCGACGCCCACAGAGATCACAGACTCGTTTGTGCCGAAATGATTAAAGAAGTTTTTAGACGGTCTTTAACACGATACCTTTGTTTCACTCAATGCGCTGTGGCTTAACGCGAGCTAACTGCGTGGCGGGTTGGCAGCTACTCGAGGGGCAAGCGCAACCTTCCGCAGCTAACAGGGCCGAGCGCCCGAGCGGAAAGGTCATCTTACTCGGTTGCGGAGTAACAATAATCGTTGAACGGCCGAACAATAAAAAATAATGGGACAGAACGGACAACAGATGGGAACGCGGCAGATAATGCGCACGTGATAACGAGTTATCCGAGAGCAAGTGAAGGAAACGCCACAACGCGATAACCGGCACAGATAAGGCCGCGTAAGCAAATACGAAGGGCCCGTAATGAGGACTGATAACGAATTATACTCGTAATTGGGCGTAAACCGCAATGGTCGGTGATAAGCACAATCAAACAAAATCCGCACAATCAACAAATAACAACAATGGAGAAATCATCTCTCCAAACTCGGTTATAAAGTCCTTAATTTTTCTAAATGGCAGTCCGGATGTCATTTAGAAAAATGAAAGCAAATTAATGAGTTAATCTCAAAGTTAATCTTTTTTTGCTAAGCTAAGCTTTTACCGTAACCATATAATGGAATTTCAACTAGAGATCAAAATCGATCGTGATTCCAACTTATTTTGTAAGAAAATGTTTTCAGTCATTCTGACAATTTCATCTTATGACCAGAATCTCAACTATGTGCGACTGATGACCACGTTTGCATTGGCACGTTTGGAATGCGTTTATCAATGGCAGTGTCAACGCAAAGATTGAATTTTTTGTTTCTTTAATTTAATTTATCTATTAACTACATGTAATATTATATGTATACCAATTTTAAACATTTTCAAACATTTTCAATTTTCAGGTATCAAAGTAGTTACCGATGTGTTTAAACACATTTGAATGATTGAAACATAACGATTAAACGGGGGACAAAAATTTGTAATTTCTTTAGTTTTCGTCTAACAAAGTATATACCTTCCAATATGGTTAAACTCATGAATCGACAGAAACTTTGTCGACACATCAACAGATTGGTCAGATCATGATTAATGGCGCTACTTTGCTTTCAAGGATCTCGAAATTAATGCCCAGCGGTGGCTAACTTAAAACTCACAAAGTGATAATACTAATTAAGATGATTTACTAAATTGCCTCAAATAATTCGACTAGAAAAAATAATCATTTTCTTATGAGGTATTTAAATGCATTATTATAAGCACACGTGATTTTCAAAAAGCGGACTCCGTTAGTCATAAATAGTAAAGTAACAGACTATGTATGTTCTACAGCTGGGCAAAGGCAACCGCTGTACAGACGGTATTAGGGCACATAGTCTACCATGCGACTCTACTGCGGATTGGCGGACTTCACATATCTTCGAAATATTTTTTGTTATTTCGAAAACACTTTTCTGTTTCTTCACGATGTTTTCTTTCTCCACACGTGATAAGCCAGAACTTAAAATTAACAATTTCATTGGTGCCGACACCGGGGATCGAACTCAGGATGCTCAAGTAAAGTATTAAAACAAAGGCGAGAGCCCGGATACTGAGCTATCACTGAATATCAAATTTAATAATGGCATCTTAATTTTCAGCTCGTTTTTTTTTATAACTCGTAATGTTTTAAATAAAAAATATATACTATATGCAATCGGCAACGATTTGCCGCAATAAATAAAAAATTTGGCTAAAATTTATTTTACCATGACTACGAAGCTTCAGTTTCTCTTATATTGAGAGTCCATTGCAACAATACAATAATCATATGCGGCTAGACAGTATCATTTAACTTAAATATCTGTCGCCTTGACGTTTCATCGACCTTCCAACCTTGCATTGCGAACTTAATATGGGATCTACAGTACTTGTTAAGCAGCTTTATTTTATATTAAGGTAAGCAATCGGACGCGGAAATGTTTTTATCTACCTCTTTTTTTTTTTTTTTTTTTTCAATTAATTCGAATTCAACGACACGCATAAGTTGAGCTTACTGAACCGAGATGATGACTCAAGTTTCAATTGGATTTATATTAGTATTGTAAATTAGCTAATAAATAAATAATAACTAATCGATATAAATAATAATACACTATTTATGTTTTGGTTCTGTTTTGTGACAGAAAGACGCCTTATTATTTTTATAACATTTATTTCTCGATCTATTTCCGGGTTATAAAAATCAGATTAATTTATTTTAATTATTTTTCTCCTTAACATTTCGCATAAAACGCGGGAATTAATTACAGCTAGAAATTAATTCAAGCAAACCTAATAATCGTAACAGAATAAAAATTATTCATGGTTTGTTCGTGGTGATACATTAAACTATATCGGCTTGGCACTGACCGTTTAAACCGCTACGCATGGAGGAAAAATAAAAATAAATAAATACGCGGTTAATCTTCGCGGGGGTAACGCACTTGTTCGGTTTGGTGCACCTATCTCGCTCGCACACAGGCATTCATGTTTTTTGCTCCTACGCCAAGTCATCGTCTCACCAGTTCTTTATTTTTAATGGCGACGACAAAACTCGTGGCGAAACTCGCGAACCTTTCACTGAACGGCCATCAAATATAAAATCAATGTGTTGGCAGAGCAGTAACGCGCGGTAAATTGGCTACTTAGCAATGGTATCTGATCAAGGTCTATGTGACTTCAAACAAAATCTGTTCGAACAATTCCAGCGTAACATTTATACAGCGTATAAATTTTTTGGTCTTTGTAAATTTTGCAATCATATTTTTATTTTAAAAATATAATGGCATCTATAACATGGCATCAATGTTGAGACCGACTTTTGTTGTATGTATTTTACTGCAACAATATCTCATAGTTTACTAAAAATTTTTTAGTAAGTATATCGAATAAGATTTGAGTGGGTATTCTTCAGATCAGAAAATAGAAAAAACATTACTTGGAATCTAAGTTGGTTAAAAATAGCCTTTGATGAACTTCAATTATATAAGGACCGATTTAACCACTCAAAGACGTTTTATTATTATTTAACGGCCATAAATTTGCATCCATCCAAATTTCCATGTAAACATGTAAGAATCTATTTGTCAAGAAAATAATGCATTGCTAGTAAAGCGGCAATACCTCTGAACACGACCGTAATACTAACAACAGGTTAGCGTCTCGTAACACAGCTCGCAAACATCGGGGGAAACTACAAAATGTCCGCTCAGAGCTCACTCGGTAGGTCGGCTCCTCGATTTTCCAATCGACGTTGCGAAACCGTAGTCACAAGGTTGCCCGGCACACATGCGCACGTGTTCGCATGTCGGTCCCCGCGCATTGTTGTTCGGTGGTTTCCATGCGAACATGTGCGGTAACATGCGCGGTGTCACGTTGGCAACCAGCTCAGGCTCGACCTGACGGAGAGAAAGTGACGGCTTCCAAGCGGTCTTGGTACGTGCCGCGGCCGAAGCTACCGTTACCCCCCTTTGCGACCGGGCCGACATTAGTGTTGGTGCCACCTCGAAGTTACGTAAACCTGAATAACTGCTATTGGAATTATAACTAACATTAGCTCGTTAATCATCAGCTCATTACGCTACGTGCTTAAATCGAATTTATAACGATGATAATTATGACGAGTTCTTTTATCGTAACGGTGTATTTTGTATTCTATTTTAACGTACTCTTCTTCATTGAAAAATAATGTTATGATATGTTTCAAGTTTAATTTTCGAGACTTTTCACGTTCAATTAATCGTAGACACTTAAACGTTAAATAAAAACGAAAACATTCAATAATATATAATATTCGAGTAAATATAATAAATCAATGAGTGTTTTAAACTATAGTCAAAATTTAGATGTATACATATACACAAATGTGCATGCGGTCGTTTATATTTCTTTAGTGGTCATTAGTAATATTTGTTTATTATACTGATATGTAATAACCTTTAGTAATATGAATTTATGATATAAGTATTTTAAAATCAAGATCACCAACAAAAATTGTTGAAACGCATATCATAGTATCTTTTCTTTAATAAGTGTAATATTTATTTAACTTTTAAATCACCATGTTTAGAAAAGCCGTCAGTTTTGAGTATTAAATACAAATTTCATGTACATAGACGTAGTATGGGCAGTAATAACCCAATGGAAACACATAAGTACAGCATTTGTGTTAGCACGTATGTTTGTCCGGACTTAACCTTAAATTTTTTTTTTTTTTTTTTCCGAACGCACTTGACCTTGCATACCTCTGCGGGAATCCCGCTTGCTCTGACCTAAAAACTGAATGCGCGGTTACTTTGTGGCATTGGAAAAAGTTGAGCGCTGTTTTTTCTATGGGCTTGTTGAAAGTGTTTATCTAAGAAAGTATATTATTTTAATTTAATATTATAATAATAAAATTATATTATGTACATATCATTTATATTATTGTAAAGTATTTTATTTTACAGTAGATGTGTTTAATGTACGTATATGTAAAATAAGAGAACAAATTTAATTTAAAGATTGAAATTGTAAGATTTCCGTAAGTGAATTGAAAACTGAAATCTCTTTGTGGCCACTAGCCTTATTTAGACCTATTTTATAACATATTTTGAAATATTAACATATTGAATACAAACACTTCAAGAGCCATGATAGCTCAGTGTCCGGGCATTCATACTCATTACTCAGGCCACCAGAGTTCAAATCCCGGTGCCTGCACCAACGAATTGTTAATTTTAAGTGCTGACTTCACGTGCTCAGCGGTGAAGGAAAACATCATGAGAAAACCTGTATATTTTCGAAATAATAATAGAAAAGTATATATTTTGAAACTACGTGAAATCTGCCAATCCGCAGTGGGGTCGCGTAGTTGAATATACGCTAATATTCTCTGTGCCTTTACCCAGTAGATGTATAGGCTGTTAACTAACTTTTTACTTTTTATACTCAGTCATCGAAACCTAAAAGTTCTTTCCTTGAGCTAGAATTGTAATTTGGCTAGCAATTTCAGGGAAAAACTGAATAAAATCAAATAATTTGTAAATCTTCGTACAAACAGATTAAGATTATAGAGAACCCTCTGAACCGGAGCACGATTCGCGCTTATTTCGTTTTTAAATAACGCTCTTCTCACGAATACCATTTCCTTGTTTTAGAGGATATAAATGATCTGTCTTTGATTGACCACTACAACTACCACTAGATTAGAAAGGCTGATTTTAGGGGATAGAGTCGGACTCAACGTCCAGGGCGGTGTTAAGGGCAAATGACCCGGGAACAAAGCCCCATGTTAGTTAAAACTTAAATTATATTACTCAGTACAATCGCATTAGGCGGGGATGGCTTTAGTTATCTCAGCACCGTGGGAACAAACTAAGAACAGATGCCTTATCAGCTTTTAACGTGGCATCGTCCGCGTGATTGAAAATACCGCAAATGTCCATCGAACGCTTTGATATGATTTACTTCCCAAACATTAAAATTCTATCAGCCGTTGCGGGGGGTGAAGAACAAACTGTCGTACCTGAGTGTTCAGCGCTTTTTCGATCTTTTTTTTTTTTTTTTTTTTTTTTATTTTAAAACTGATGTTTTTGCTTTCAGTCCCGAGACTATTAAAGCTTCATCGGACGCAGAACCGGTGGGCTAGCCAGAACCCACGGGTTTGGACCCTCCGCTATGGGTAGGGTCGCGCATGTGCTCATGCGTGCGTTTAACTACTATGGTGTGTCATCTAAGGGCCGTCGAGGTCGCCGGTTCGGACCGAGACCCCGACGGCCGTCGACTGTGCATTTAGCTAATCGGTGGCTGGGAGCGGTGAGAACCGCCCCGGAACGCGGGTGTACCTTGTGTACGCGTTGTGTGGGGTCTCGCCGTGCTCGGAGGCGAGGGCGAACTGGTGTGATTGTTGTTACACTAACTGTGGGTGTAGTGTTATCCGGCGGGACCCCCGGCGGTGGGTCCATCGTATCTAAGTCCTCTTCGTCGACCGGGTCGATGAGGACGTTTCGCGGGCGACGCTTGTTTACGTTCGCGTTTGTGTCCGGTTGGTAGTTTGCTGCGCTTACCACCAGAGGGTTGGGATGATGCTGGACTCTATCGAAGAACCGTTTTGTCAAATCTTTAAAATGTGCGCGAATCGTCGGGAGTCTGCAATCGCTGTGCAGGTCGACGTTGCGCTGATACCACTGCGCACCGGTTGCGCGGCGGATAAACTTATTTTGTACTATTTGCAACTTGTACAAGCGAGTAGGGTGCGTGTAGGCGAAGATCATGCATGCGTAGAACATAATAGGTCGTACGCAGGTCTTATATAATAATAATTTGTGAATTAAGGGTATTTTACTTTTAGCATTACTTAAATTGTGTAGCCGGCCGGAGACGAACGCGGCTCTATTACGAACGTTATTAATGTGCGTAGTAAATGACATACGCGAGTCGAAAGTGACTCCTAAATATTTGACCTTTTTCTCCCAGGGGAGCGGTTGGCCATAAAGGGATATTTGCCCCAACTTTCTGCATTGGCGAGGGCCATTATAAAGATGTGACGGGTAGCTTTTCGGGATTAATATCGATTCTCCATTTGCGGAACCAATCGCCGAGGCGGTCGGCGGCGCTTTGGAATCGAGTTGTTAATTGACTGAGGTTGCGATCTGAGTAAAAGAGCGCCGTGTCATCCGCGAAAAGCGCGAAATTGACGTGGGGGTCTCTAGGTATGTCGCTCGTGTAGAGCGTAAATAGCAAGGGAGAGAGGCAGGAGCCTTGTGGTACGCCGGCCGTGAGGCGGCGGCTTGTGGAGAGGGTGCCCTCGACTCGATATCGAAAAACAACAAAAAGGCCCGGATGGTGTGTACGAGCCTATCTGGCACTTTGAGTGTGTACAGCTTGTAAAGCAAGCCGTTGTGCCAGACTTTGTCGAATGCTTTTGCGACATCGAAGAATAGAGCCCCTGTACTAATGTGTTTGGGGTGGTTAAGGCCTTTTAGGATGTGCTCCGTTAGGCGGTATAGCTGATCGGGACAAGAGTGTCTAGCTCGAAAGCCGAATTGTTCCGTCGGCAGAAGGCCGTTGGAAAACACGTGCTCTTTGAGCCTGTTTAACAATAGCCGCTCGTAGAGCTTCCCCAGACAACTGAGGAGGCTGATGGGACGATAGCTGGAGGGCTTATTGGCTGGTTTATTCGGCTTGCGAATGCCCATAACCGTGGCTTGCTTCCAGTCGTCCGGAAAGGAGCAACTGGAGAGAAGGGTATTGAAAATTGTCGCCAGTAAACAGATAAGCGGCCCAGGGACAGCTTTGAGAATCTTATTACTTATAGTGTCTGGGCCCGGGGCGGATTTTGGTTTTAAATTTTTAATAATATCTTGGATCTCTTCGGGGGTCACTGAATTTAAAGGTTCGCCTTCCGGTGGAAGCGCAGCCCTAGTCTCGATTACGCGGTCCACCTCCGTTAGGTGGGCCGAATCGGTGTGTTCGCGCGATGGCGTACATTGCTGCTCTAGGTTGTCCGCAAGGCATTCGGCTTTTTCGGAGTCATCTAGGGCTACTGAAGCGCTATTAGGTCTCACTAACGGCGGTAGAGATTCGCGGGGGTCTGCTTTCAGACTGCGGGCCAACCGCCAGTAGGCGGTGTGCGATGGCTCGATGTCCTCTAGGAGAGTGTCCCACGTTGTGTCGGTGTTCCGATACACGATCTTTGACTTCTAGCTGAAGGCGTCGAAGTAGGGTTCGGTTCGATTCCGATCGGTATCGGTCGAAGGCGCGTTTGGCTGCATTTTTTTGTCTAATTAGCAGTCGCAGGTCGGGCGGAAAGTTAAACCGTCGGTCGCCCGACAGTTTCACTGTCCGTTCCGAGTCTGCGACTGCGGAAGTAATAGTTTTGCGGAGACTCGCTATCGCTCGATTTGCGTCATCGAACGTAGCTATCGTCTCGGGTAAGTCTACTAAGTCCTGGGGGTCCAAGGCCTTGAGTTTGACCTCAAGACGATGCCAGTCCACTACGGATTTGGTCGGAGGGACCGCGCCGGCGTTCTGGCCCAGTTTACACAGGACGGGCCTGTGGTCTGAGTCTAGTTCATGGATTGTCTCTATCGACTCGATGTCGAGCGAGACCTCCCTGAATAACATTATGTCTAGGACACTCGGTGACGCGTGCTGGTAGTTGTCCACCGTAGGATACCTAGTGGGAGTCGCGGGAGCGACTATACTGAAATTTAGGTTATCGGATAAGCTAAAGAGATGCTTTCCGTTGTTGTTTGGGATGCTGTTGATGTCCCATGAGCCGTGTTTGCAGTTTAGATCTCCTGCAATTATCACGGAAGGGCCTAAGTTAAGAAGCGTATCTAGGTCGCTTTGAAGGAGGGTTCTATTCCCCGAGAGGTAGGCTGAGACTAGTACAAGCGGCCTGTGGCCGGTGAGCGCTAACCTACACGCGGATGCCTCTATTTGACTTAGCTCTGGAATGTCGAGCGGGCAACAGTGCAAGGACCGTTTATAATAAATTTGTGTG